ATTCTAACTCATGTCACTCAGTGCTGCAGTCAGAGATGTTGCCATTGAGCTACATGGGTTGACAACTAATCTACTGTAGGACAGTGATGGATATATTGTTTGTTCACTAGGGCATAATCAGTGTGTCATTCGTCGGATTGTCTCACATCGGCTGACATCCATGCACAGTGTATCGCGATGAAGAGTCACTTAACTTGGTCACTATATTACAAACTTGCCCAACTTTCCCTCTGCCAGTTCTCTTACTGGCTTAGAGAGGTAAAGGAGTGCGTCGGCCGGGGATCGAACCATGTGCATAGTCGGCGAGCGTCTTAACCGCTGTCCCACCGACGCAGAGATAACTGGAGTACGTGAATGAAAAACAGAACGTATAATGACAGCGTACTAAGTGGCGTGGATGCTTGAACGTGAGCACATATTGTGTGGGGGACAGTGATACTTATTACCTAACTGTCCAAGTCTCGTTATGTGGAATGTGATTTCAACGCATGGCCTCTTCTTACTTATGATGTCTTATAATCTTGAGTTTTGTCTGCCTCCATAGCATTACTCGCAATCAATGACCTGGTTGGGGTCCTCAAAATGGTAAGAACCAACGACTGCTGAAGGCAATCGATGATATGGCTCAAAATCATCGTTCTCAATGATGGCTGGAGCACATGCATTCACTCTGTGATTTGTAGTATTCAATAAAACTCTGTTGTTCTTCCACACTACTATTCTTTTTTCCTCACTCAAACTTCTGTTTATTATCTGTCTTTTGAAACTCTCTTCTCTTGCTTTGTGTGCCACATGGGGAGTGTCAAGTAGAACTGGTGCATTTCTGTGCAAAGTTCTATGTCGAAACCAGTTAGTCAGTCAGTCAATGACAAAACCATGTAAGTTCGATACCACATATTTAGACAAGAGAGACACCACTTTTCAATAACTGATATCGTCTTAGAATACAGGCTTGAATGACTCAGACATTTGTTACAAATGTCATCTTTACAGCTCCCACTGTCTGCCTGTTTTCGACATCGAACTTTACACCAATGTGCAGCAGTTCAAGTCGCACACTCTCTCCATGTAGCTCACAAAGCAAGAGAAGAAAGTAGAAGAGAGACAGTAGACAGAGATATGAGACAAAAGGAATAGTAATAACGAAGGATAATATAGTTTCACTAGGTGTTATAAATCACAAGGAGTGGATGCATCTGCGCTAACCATTGAGAACGGTGATTTTCAGCCATATCACCGATTGTCTCCAGCCATCGGTTTTTACAGTCCCGAGGAACCTAACCAGGAAGTCTACACCTTCCTACGTGGATTTCATACATTTGGTTCCCTTGATAAATTTCGATAGAGAAAGAAAGACCAGATTTGCAGGATAAAATGATATCATTCTATTTCACAGGTTCTCATCAGCTGCAAACTACCTGAAATTACAATGGTTATAATTAATAACATTTCATACTTCATTGTTTGGAAGGTAATACAGAAAGCATTATAAGATAAACGCATCCGGAATATAAGGATTACAACTTTTTGTAGCTTAAGTTATCATCAATTTATATACTATCAAACTATGGAAAAAAGAAAGAAAAAGGGAGGGTGAGAGAAGACAGAAAAATCTAATAAACAGTGTCAACATGGCAACTCAACAAGGTCAAAGTTCATCAATTTGAAAACTTGCTTAGTGAGTTGAACTCACTAGTGTCTATGAGTAATCACTGTAATGAAAGTGATATGGTTACCAAGGGATTGATTGACTGATGAAGCCATGTTTTAGTTTGATTGCCGCTACCTCTTTTCCAGCCTGACCCTATGTCAGCTAACATTGCCCATCGAGGAAGGCGATGACTAGGCATGCATGTGTAACACATGTCCTAACCATCTCAGTCGATGTAATTTCACAGCCTCGTCGATTGATTTCCCCTCCCTTCTTACCTACCACTCGACCAACGCCTAACCTCAATATTACTCAACTTATTATACCACTTCACACGGGAGATAGAACACAGGGACCCTGTGATCGAAGACAGCTCCCACACTATGAAATATTCACTAGTCCTGGAATCAACTATATTCTGACTTGTCTATTTGAAGTGTCTCCTTATTTGAAAAGCACATCTGTCAGTATATCAAAACAGTGCAATGTTACATCTTAAGAGAGTTAGCACTATCCACTATTATCACAAATAAGTAATACAAATTTATTCTTGAGAAAAACGTGACTCAAACGCAGTTCAATTGTTTATGATGAAAAGAACACTGCTGGTGTAAAATTAGATTACAGTCTCACTGACCAAGCATTAATTTATACATAACTGATTGTTCTTGCACTCTATGAAATCTACCATACACTTAACTCTATCTCTCTCCTCCAAATTTCAGTAGTGAATGCAGGAACAGTTTCATTAACAACACTGAGTAATATTTTACCATCTGATAGTCTGAGTGAACAATTCAAACTATTACAATAAAATTATTAACCTACTTAATTGGTGGATGGTGACTAGCAGTGGAATCCAGCCAGGATGCGCATTTCGTCCTATTTGGGACTCGTCAGCCAGTGGATGTACCTGCATTACCCAGTCAGTGAGTGATGGTGTTCCCACCACCAGGGCTCGAACCCAGTGTCTATAGTTTCAAACACCAGCCAAAGCTTTATCCACAAGACCACTTGGGCCATGACAGCTACCTCTTGTACAATTATAGATTTTCCCGTTGATTGATTGGACCGAAGTGCTCGGTCTCAGGTTGACATGTCTGTTGGCTTCTTGTGCAGATGCTTCGACAATGTCTGGGCAAGTAATTAGAAGTTACTTGGAGGATGGTGACTAGCAGTGGAATCCCGGATTCGCATTTCGTCTTATTTGGGACATCCAGATGATGAGTCTGGTCGAAGAAGCAGCAAAGACAGGACTCCAAGTGAACATAGACAAACAAGACTGAGGTTATGAAAATAACCAACCAACAACAACAACAGCAGCAGCAACATCCAGCGCCAATCACCATCAACAGGAGGGATTTGAAAGAGGTTACTTCATTCACTTACTTATCTAGGGAGCATTGTCTCAACTACAGGAGGAACGGACGAGGATGCCAAATCGAAAATCGGGACGGGAAGGCGAGAAACACATTCATCAACATGAAACCAATCTGGAAATCTTCCTCACTCAACTCAGCATCAACAACAAAATTCCGATTTTCAATACAAACGTCAACTCAGTTCTTCTATACGGATCAGAAACTTGGCAAGTCACAACAGGTTGCAGACCTTTACCAACAGCTGTCTTCGTTTTATACTGAAGATCAGATGGCCGGAAAGAACAAGAACCAACAAGAAACTATGGGAACAAACAAAACAAGAGCCAATCGCCCAACAAATATGCAGGAGAAAGTGGAGATGGATTGGACACTCGGTGAGCTGAGGAGGCCGCTGGGTGACATCGCGCGTCAGACCATAGCTCGAGTGGAACCCGAAAGTGAAGCGGAGAGTGGGACGTCCAAGGGTGACATGGAGGAGATCGTGTGAAGAGGAGTTGAAACAGTATGGAATAACATGGACACAGGTGAAAAGTACCACAGAAGACAGAAGCAAATGGAGACGTGTAGTTGAAGCCCTATGTTCTACTAGGAACCCAAGGGAGCCATAATAATAATAATTTTCCCGTTGATTGATTGGACAGAAGTGGTCGGTCTCAGGCTGACATGTCCGCTTCTTGTGTAGATGCTTCCATGTCTGGGCAAGTAATTAGAAGTTACTTGGAGAATGGTGACTAGCAGTGAATTCCAGCTAGTATGTGCATTTCGTCTTATTTGGGACATCCAGCTGAACAGTCCCAAATAAGACGAAATGCGCATGTTGAGGTTATGGCTCAAAATCGTTCTTAGTGGTGCAGATGCATTCACTCTTTGTTATTTCCTAGATCTATTTGGTCCTCATGTTACTATTCCTTCTCTGGTACATTTCTGCTCATCATACTTGTTTTTCTCTACCTTGTGTGTTACATGAATGGCGGCAAGTTAAAAGTGCTACAATTCTACGCAAATCTAAATATTAGACGTCAATCGTCGTGAAAAGTAACAAGTTGGCAAAAGAAGCATCAAAGATAGGACTTCAGATGAACATAGAGAAAACAGAGACAGGCGATGAAGATTCCTGGACAACAACAACAACTGACAACGATCAGCATAAATGGGAGGAACCTGAAAGAAACAACCTCCTTCACCAACCGACCTGGGAAGCATCATTTCAAATACAGGCGGAACTGACGAGAATATCAAAGCAAGAATCGGAAAAGCAAGACAAGCTTTCACTACTCTCAAGTCTGTGTGAAGGTCAACAACACTCAGCATCAAAAATAAGATCCGGATTTTCAACTCCAATGTGAAGTCAGTGCTACTCACTATACGGATCAGAGACTTGCACTGCGCGTCATAAAGAGCATCTTAAACAAACTACAGACCTTCATTAACAGTTGTCTTCGCTCAATACTCAAGATCAGATGGCCAGAAAAGATCATCTACAGGAAGGGATCTCTGGGAGCGAACCAACCCAGCAGAAACCGATTGTGAAATAAATAGGCAGGAAGAAATGGAGATGGATTGGCCATACTCTGAGGAAACCATCAAGTGACATCACTAGACAAGCCTTCGAGTGGAACCCGACTGAATGGGAAGCGGCGAGTTGGTCGTCAGTGCAAGGGTGAGGGTGACTTGGAGGAGGTGATGTGAAGAGGAGATGAAAGCATGTGGACAGACGTGCAGCAGGAGGGAAACGTTGGCAGGGAACCGGACACAATGGAGACGCACGTCTGAAGCCCTATGTTTCTCTAGGAATTAGAGGAAATAGTAATAATCGAAACTAGTTTACCAACTTTCAAGACTGGAGGTGTTGACGTTCACGCACAGTACGATTTATATACTAACGTAAGATCTAATATCCACAACATTAATTGCCTACCGCTACAACTTCATACATAACCTGGAATAGAATAAAGTCTGTTCAGATTAAAGGCGTTTATTACTTTTTAAATATTGTCTGACTGAAAACTCTAAGTATGATACAAAAAAATAAGTAAGTAAAAATGAGAAGATATGCACATTTTTATTTTATTGTTTCATTCGCTGTTGGTTTTCAATGGAAGAATGCAAAACACAAGTAGAGACTTGCTCGCGCTTCACTTATTATTTATCAGTGAGCGATTTTGTATCTGGTGATGCCATTGTTGACAGCTTTTTAGTCGCTTGCATATACGCTTGCATAAATTTTGAAGCACACCGGTCTAAACAAACAGCTTCGCCTTTTGTTAAATCCCCATCAGTATAGTTGGTTGGTATACACTTGGCTAGACAACTATTTGTCATACTAGTGAAAACTTGTTGCATCATTTCAATTTCAAACATTTGCATTTGTCTTTCAACAGCTTTATCACTTTTTGATGATGACAACATGATAGCGATGATGATAGTGATAGTTTATCCCCTGTTTAAGGAAAAAGAAATAAGTTCAATGAAAAGTTTACAAATATTATAATTTTCTTTAAAAATTTAAAACAATTAGTTCCCTTTATGAATTTAGATAAAGCAATAAGAAGACGTAATTTGTCTGAATCGTGTATTGTGCATATTTGCGTACAACACATTTTGAACAATCTGATCACACTCCACGGACTTGTCATAGGAATATACATATGTGAAATTAATAAAGAGTTATGAGGTGAGAGAATAGACTTAGGTCAAGTTAAAAGGACACATTTAAGGTCCAACTAACAATGAAGATCACTAAACCCAAATAACAGAGGTAATAGTACATCTACTCTGGCTGGTATCAAAACAAAGTCTACCAATGAAAGTGATTTAGTGTAGTGACGGTTGCTTTTGAATGCATAAAGGTGGTTTAAACTTCCTAATTACTAGCTAAGGATTCCACAAACTTTAGGATACGCCCCAAACACGTTTTATCGATAGGTTTAAAAGATGTGTTAACGTCAATTTTATGTCCTGTCTCTATAATATGTTTCGCCATAAAGGAGCTAGGTCTCTTGTTTTCACTATTAATGGTTTCTGAAGATTCTATTTGTTTCTGAAGCCATTTAGGAATATGCTCTGAAGCCAGCCTTCAGTTGCAGAAATCAATATGTTTGGGGCGCATGCTGCTGCTGGATTCAACATAGAACTTGGCACCTAAGTGCAGCAGTTCGAGTTGCCACGTTCCAAATAGCACACAAAGGTAGATAAGAAGATGAGCGAAGAGAATCAATAGAATTTAGACAAGTATAAGAGTGAAACAGAATGAGTAATGAGTTTGGGGCGTATCCTAAAGTTTGTGGAAGCCCTAGCAATTAGAAAGTTTAAACCACCTTTATGCATTCAAAAGCAATTCGTTATCACACTAAACCACCTTCTTCGGTAAACCTTGTTTTGATACCAGTCAGGGTAGATGTACTATTACCTCTCCTATTTGATTTAATGGTCTTCATTGTAATTTTGACCTTCACTGTGTCCTTTTAACTTGACCTAAGTCTATTTTCTCACCTCTTAACTCTATTAATTTCACATATGTATATTTCTATGACAAGTCCGTATGTGATCAGATTGTTCGAAGTGTCTTGTGCGTCGGTAGCACAGTGGTTAGGACTCTCGCCGGTCATGCACATCGTCCGGGGTTCGATCTCCTGCCGACGCACACCTGATATTTATGGTCGGCCTGTGAAATTTGGGCTACCGATATCCATGCTGAAAATTCCATACTTGTACTGAAAATACGGTGTGGCATCAAGCTGTAATCAAAATTAATTAATTAAATTAATTACAAGATTCAGACAAATTACGTCTTCTTATTGCTTTATCTAAACTATAATTTTCCTAAAATATCTTGAAAAAGTAAAATCAATATTTCATTCTAAACATTGTTAAGACCCAATTCCTGTGTAACTAGTCTTTTTCTTCCTTCTCACGAAGAAGGCCTGACGCCGGGTTCAGGGTGATCAAGAATCCTCTGACCGCAGATGGAGGCTCACCATTGCTCCTCGGTGGGTTGAAACTCACAATGGATCCTAATCAGGTGCACTTGGGAGTGTAGTTTTTGTCAGTGGGGAAGCCTCACGGTCCTCCCTTTATTGTCTGCTAAATTTGAGCTACCGATGTCACATGCTAAAAATGCCATACTTATACCAAAATACTGTGTGGAATCAAGCTATAATAATAATTATTATAAAGATATAGTAGCGAATAGAATATCAACTAAAATTAAGAAAATTCTACAAAAATTGAGGATCATTCAAACATAGATGGCCAGCGGGGTAAGGATAATGTCTGAACCCACCAACTTCTTTTGGACGCACAAATTAGGATTCCTAATATGAATCTTAACAGCCTCAGCAATATTTAGTAGTCGAACTCTTAAGGCGAAATTGAGATTTGTTGGCATGCGATAAATGACCCTAAAAGCCTGGTTAATATCAATCTTGTGTTCTGTATGTATCCACAAGATGAGATAGAATAGCGCTACGAATAGATTTCGTTTGTCCTTTACTTAACCACTATGCAGGGTGATGTTCGGAAATTCGACGATAAACACGCCTAATTGTACGGCCTATGTAACTGGCTCCAAAGGAGCAATCAATAATTAATAATTTAAAAAAAGTAGTAGTCGTATTTTGGATTTTTGATTTCAAAAATGTAGACAAGCAAATAGATAGTGGCAAAATTTTCAAAAAAACTGCCGTCAAAGAGAAAGGAATGCGGGAGGCAAGTATGAAATAGTATCACTGTTGAAAACAAGTATGCGGACGGTACGATATTCTTTTAGAACGACTAGTAATTCAGATATACTACTTTACTGGTTTGAACATTCAGAAAAAGCTGACGACAAAAATTACATGTTCCTGTTTAAATCTGTCATCAGTCCATGAAAACACAGACGGTTGATATGAGTGATGCTGAGGGGTATGAACTGTAACGTTTGAAAGCGACCATTGCAGACTTAGTGACATGACTGATTGATTAACAGATTTCAACATAGAACTTCACACAGAAGTGCACCAGTTCTAGTTGCCATTCTCCGTACATATACCATACAAAGCAAGAGAAGAGAGGTTCAAAAGAGAGATAGTAAACAGAATTTTGAGTGAGGGAAAAAGAATAGTAGTGTGGAAAAACAATAGTTTTATTGAATATGACAAATCACAGAGTGAATGTGTGCGGGCCAGCCATTAGCAACGATGATTTTGAGCCATACTACCAAGTGTCTCCAGTTGCCATTGGTTGTTTTACCGTCCCGAGGACCCTATCCAGTCAAGAAGTCTACACTTCCATACGCTGCTGGCTGGCTAAAGGTGTTATGGATTTCATTGACTGATGAAGCCATGTTTTCGTTTGATCACCACTAGCTTTTTTACAACCTCATAGACCCTAGGTCAGCTAAAACTGACCGTCGAAAAAGGTGATCGATGGATAGGCGTGCGTAACATATGTCCTAACCACTTCAATCGATGTAACTTCACAACCTCGTCGATTGATTTTCCCTCCCTCTTTACCTGACACTGAACCAAAGCGTAACCAACTCAATTTTGCTCACCTAATTATACCGCCTAACAGGAGGGGGGTAGAACACAGACACCTATGATCAAAGACAGCTAACCTTTTCACGTCTTCCACTTCCAATGGCCATGTCTCGCAGCCATAAAGGAGGATGGAGCGAACTGCTACTATGCAATACACAAGCCCTTTGATCAACAACCTGATATCACGCTTCGTGAAATGGTTTATAGTCGTATTCCTCATCGCTAGAGATTCGCAATCTTTTAAATCAAGTAACATTAAATTATTCCCCTCCTACAATCGTTTATTTATTTCATGTTACTCAACAACCATTTGAGATTCCATGCGGTTGGTAGCGAGCCACACCTCTTGTGTGTAGGTCACTGTTGCTACCTGTTTGTTCAAACCTTTTCAGTCGGAGAGGGATTCGAGTCCACAACCCACTGTTTGGAATTCAAGCACCTAAATTAATGAGCCATATCTCTACATAATTGTTTATTCGAAGCATTACTATCTTACTTTCCTATGGGTTTATAACGTGATATTCCACTTTTGTTTGAGGTATTTTTGCACACAGGTAAATCAACTGCAAATTTGTGGTGGAGAAAAATGTAGTTAAGAAGTAAACAAACCATCTGGATAAGTTACTATGAAATGGTGTCTAATGTCCACATTCTCAGTTACCATCGGAATTTTTAGCCCAGTTTCTATAAGTTATGGCACCACCTCTTTTCCTGTAGCTAGGGCTTTTCGAATGCCATGGGCACTCCGAAGAGCTTTCAAACGATTAGACGAGTTTGTGGCCAAAGTACTCTGAGCAACATATGTCAAACCTCATCTAGAATACTGCACACAAGCGACTAGTCCATGCTTCAAGAAAGAGGTACATACCTTAGAAAGAGTAAAAAGGGTAGGAAGCAAATTAGTAAGTGGTATCTCACACCTTCCTTATGACAATAGGATGGAGCATTTAAATCTCTTCCTGTCATCATACCAAAGGAACAGAGGCGATTAAATTGTAGCATCCGTATACTTAAGGGCAATTTACGAACTGACCTTTCAAACCTTTTCTCCTCTTCTAGGATATATTAACGGGGTCACCGTAAAAAGATGCTCAAACCGAGGAGGATTAAAATACGTGCATAATTTAGATTCTCTCACAGAGTGGTCAACGACTGGAACCCCTTACCTGTATCAGTAGTATTAGCTCCATCGGCGAAGCCTTTCAAAGAGAGGTTAGATTTCTGCAAAGATATATCTTGCAAGGATTAACACAAGCCACAAGAGCCTACTATCCTTATCATCTGGATTTGTACCTGCCCTTTTATTAAAACTTTTAGTGCACGATGCTTACAACTTAGAAAGTTATAAGAGTCAGCTGGAAATATTTGCGGATACCAGCGGTTAGAATGAAGACATTAATTTTCAACTGGACCCTTTATAGAGCAAAAACTTTAAGACGAATATTATCCATATGTTGCATTAAATATTTGCTTGCCTTCCAGTGAATCTGAGTTGCATAATAAAGCATGCTTTAAATGCATTTAAAAGCCTAGAAGCGGCGTAATATATAAAGTTTGAATTTACTCTTCGATGATATCCTGAAGGTCTATAACTGAACCGCATAACAAAGTATAAAATGTATTTTAGGTATGTTTTAGTCCAAGGAGGAAAAAAAGGATATTTGTTCTCATGCACCAAGGAGTTTGTGGAGACAATATTAGCGTTATTTACACCCAATATTACGCTGAAAAACATCGTATAAGAGTCCACCTTATATTCTACTAGCGTCCTAAATCAAAACCTGAGTTGAGAAACTTAAGTTGTAGTTAATTAACTACAATTCCTTTTTGTCCGTTACCAGTCACATATATCCCACTTGTTCTTTTGTAAACATATTACAAAAATGAATAATTTACGGGTAATCTCGAGTGAATGTGAGG